TCATCTCACTAGATGCTGAAAAAGCCTTTGACAAAATCCAACACCCCTTCATGATAAAGGTCTTGGAGAGATCTGGGATAACAGGAACATACTTAACCATAATAAAAGCTATATACAGTAAACCAACAGCCAACATCAAACTAAATGGACAGAAACTCAATGCAATTCCTCTAAAATCAGGAACAAAACAAGGCTGTCCACTCTATACCTTTTCAACATGATACTTGAAGTTCTAGCCATTGCCATACGACAACAAAGGGGGATCAAGGGGATGCAAATTGGGAAGGAAGAGGTCAAACTTTCACTCTTTGCAGAAGATATGATAGCTTACATCAATGACCCAAAGAACTCTACCAGGGAACTCTTACAGCTGATTAACACCTTCAGCAAAGTGGCAGGCTACAAGATCAACTCAAGAAAATCAGTAGCCCTACTATATACAGATGATAAAAGGGCTGAAAAAGAAATCAGAGAAACATCACCCTTTACAATTGCCACAAACAACATAAAATACCTTGGGGTAACGCTAACCAAGCAAGTGAAAGACCTGTATTGCAAGAACTTTGAATCTTTAAAGAAAGAAATTAAAGAAGCCCCCAGAAAATGGAAAGATCTCCCATGCTCTTGGATAGGTAGGATCAATGTAGTAAAAATGGCAATCCTGCCAAAAGCAATCTACAGATTCAATGCAATCCCCATTAAAATCCCAGCACAATTCTTCACAGACCTTGAAAGAACAATAATCAATTTTGTATGGAAAAAAGACCCAGGATAGCCAAAACAACCCTGTTCAACAAGGCAACGTCCGGAGGCATCACCATACCTGACCTCAAGCTCTATTATAGAGCTATAGTCCTGAAAACAGCTTGGTATTGGCACAAAAATAGACAGGTAGACCAATGGAATCAAATTAAAAACCCGGATATTAACCCACACACATATGAACATCTGATCTTTGACAAAGAAGCTAAAAATATACAATGGAATAAAGAAAGCATCTTCAACAAATGGTGCTGGCATAGCTGGAGGCTGGCATGTAGAAAAATGCGGATCGATCCATGTTTATCGCCATGCACAAAACTTAAGTCCAAATGGATCAAAGACCTCAACATAAATCCCGCCACACTGAACCACTTAGAAGAGAAAATGGGTGGTCCCCTTGAAGGAATTGGTACAGGAGACAGCTTCCTGAACATAACACCAGTAGCAGACAGTGAGATAGACAATTAATAAATGGGACCTCCTGAAACTGAGAAGCTTCTGTAAGGCAAAGGACACAGTCAGCAAGACAAAAAGGCAGCCCGCAGAATGGGAAAACATATTCACTAATCCCACACCTGACAGAGGGTTGATCCCCAAAATTTACAAAGAACTCAAGAAGCAAGTCTCCAAAACACCAAAGGATCCAATTAAAAAGTGGGCCGCAGAACTAAATAGAGAATTTTCAATAGAGGAGTCTAAAATGGCTGAGAGGCACTTGAGAAAGTGCTCAACATCTTTAGCAATCCAGGAAATGCAAATCAAAACAACTCTGAGATACCATCTCACTCCTGTCAGAATGGCTAAAATATAAAACACCAAAGACAATTTATGCTGGAGAGGATGTGGTGAAAGGGGAACACTCCTCCATTGCTGGTGGGAGTGCCAACTTGTTCAGCCACTTTGGAAATCAGTATGGAGATTCCTCAGAAAAATGGGAATAAACCTACCACAAGACCCAGCAACTCCACTCTTAGGCATATATCCAAAAGATGCCCATTCATACAACAAGGATGTCTGTTCCACTATGTTCATAGCAGCATTATTTGTAATAGCCAGAACTTGGAAGCAACCTAGGTGCCCCTCAACCGAAGAGTGGATAGAGAAAATGTGGTATATTTACACAATGGAGTACTATTCAGCAGAAAAAAAACAATGGAATCCTGAGATTTGCAGGCAAATGGATGACACTAGAAGAAACCATCCTGAGTGAGGTAACCCAGTCACAAAAAGAGAAACATGGCATGTACTCTCTCATATATGGATTTTAGACATAGATCTGGGGAGTGCCAGCCTACAATCCCATGGCCAGAGAGTCTGGGAAACAGAAACTTCATTCAGTGCCTGATGGAAGAAGAGGCACACTCTCATGGTTAAGCACTGAGCTGAACTCAAGAAAGCCAGTAACAGAGAGGGAGGACTGATAACCAAAGGGATTAAGACTGGGCTGGTTTAACCCCCAGAAACAGCTGACCTGACAAAGGTTAACTCTTGAATCCCAGGCATCAGCCTGGGAATCCAGCATGGGACTGATCAAGACCCCCTGAATGTGGGTGTCAGTGAGGAGGCCTAGGTAATTTATTGAGCCTTGGGCAGTAAATCAGTACTCCTCCCGAGTATACACACAGACTTTGGACTCCCATCCAACATTGTGAGGTGCACTCTAACCCGGAACTCTTGGGGGAAGGTCTAGGCCCTGCCCTGGATGAAATGACAGACTATGGACACCCCCATGGAGGGCCTCACCCTCCCTGGGGAAATGAGGGAATAATGGGGGGTAGGGGGAGGGCACGGGAGGAGGGGAGGGAAAGGGAGAGGGACCTGGAACTGACTTGTGAAGCAACCTTGTTTCTTATCTAAATTTAAACTGAAAAATAAATAAAAAATATAGTATTCCAGGAGCTTGTTGTGCAGAAAACACCATTTCCACTCAAATGTCATGACCAAGTTGACACATTACTCATTCAGTTATCCCACAGGTATGTATTCAACATCTGGATGCAGTTACTAGTTGAGGCACTGGGGATGGAGCCAGTATCCATGGGTACCAGGCAGTACCACACTTGCAGAGATCCTGCATTAGCTTATTGTTGCTGCCACAAATGACCACAAAACCAGCCACTCAATAAACCACAAAGTTTCCTGTAGTTCTGGAAGGCAGAAATCTAGAATGAAATCTTCAGGATGAAAAAAACAAATTATGATGAGGACACATTCATTAGGGAGACTGTAGGAGAATTGGTTCTTTTCTTTCACAGTTCCTGTAAGTTTCTTCCATTCCGTGGCTTGTGTCCATGCATAACTGTCACCCAGCTTCCATCCTCTTATGATCTTTGCCTCCCTGCTCCTGTATAATCTGTCTGTCTCTGATGGTACAGAGGCAGAGTCACCTTCTTGGGTCGAAATCCTAAAGTTAGTCCACCTCCTTATCTGACAGTTTAATCCCTTGTTTCCTAAGAGGAATATTTTGGAAGGCTATTATTCTGTCTTCCACAGTCTCTTTCTCTGCTTGTTTTTATTTTAATGACACAGTAACTGGTTGGGGTAAATGTCTCCCAAAGACCCATGTGATAAAGTCTTGGTCATCAAGGAGGTGGAAAGATCTTTAAGAGATGAGCCTAGTGACAGATACCAGGCCATTGGAGGCCTGTGTCTGAATGGAGATGTCAGGACTCAGCCTGTCTCCCTCCTAGCTCCTTCCTGGGTTGTGTTGTAATTTAAAAAGCAAAAAGTGGCCTAAGAGAGAAAACCATGCAACAGAGATCACATGGAGGGGTTTTTTATTAGGGGTAAGGGAATGGGGAAAAGGCAAGGTGTATGTGGGGGGGATGGCCTCTGGGAACAGGAAAAGCAGAAGAGAAAAGAGAGGCAAGGGGAGGGGTGACAGAAAGGAAGAGAAGGGAGGATGGAGGGAGGGAGAGAAAGAGAGAGTCACACACAGAGAAGAGAGAGAGAAAGGAACAGATACAAAGAGAGAAAGATGGGAGGTGGGCAGGTCCCTTTTAAGAGGAAATGTAGTGAACGTGCACAGGTGGTGCTCTCAGTGGCTGCAGGTAAGGACTTATCCTGGCAGTACCCCAAGGGCAGGCCATACAGATGCCTGAATACTAACAGGCTATGGTGGGGTACACGAGCTGCTGTACATTCCCACCCTCATGCACTCCATGGTTACAGTCCCAACTCGATAGAACCAAATCATTGTGAACCAGAGCCTCAAAAACTGTGAGCTCAAACCAACCTTTCCCATTTTGAGCTGATAACCTCAGGGATTTTGTTACAGTACCTAAACTATCATAGTTCTAGAGCAAATAATCTGGATCTGCTGGATTTGCTCTTTATGGCCAATCAGGAATGTTCCACATCTACTTCCCCACACCACAATTTGGATACAGACTATCAGGTGTTCAGACGCAAGCCCCTCTTACAGGGATATCACATGTAATAAAATAATGTAAGCAATAGCTAACTGAAAAACTAGAAATATAATTCATGCTGTAAGTGATAGAAATCTATATCAAGGCCACTCTCATGAAACCTCTATTTAAATCTCAACAAAAAAATTAAAAATGGGTAGAATACAAACCTGGAAAATTAGGGAAAGGCCATTTGGGGGTAGATAGGAGGCAGGGGGATTGGGAGGAGAAGAGGAGGGAGGGGGAAACTGTGACTGGAAGGTAAAATAAAAGAAAAAGAAGTTAATTAAATAAAATTTTAAAAAAACAGAAAAACTGCTTACAATGCTAAGGACAAAAGAGACTGCTGAATCATGTTGTTCACAGTGAGGAGATAATCCCTAAAGTGCTCTAGCTTGCCTTTCTGTTCGCAAATACAACATGGCTGAGGAAATTCCTGATAGTTACGCTGTGGCGTAAGAACTTAACAAAAAGAGTAATAGTGGAAAACTTCAGTGAGTGAGTGCCTGGATGGAACTAGTGAGTTTTTCAGAAGATTCCAGAAAACAGCAGGTTCTCTGAGAAACAAGCCTTCGAACGGTGACCAACTGAGTTCACATGAATTCTATGAACTGTGGGGATGATGTTCAGGGAGGACTGATGCTCACAGTGACTTCTGGGACCTGGGGAGTGGAGTCACAGTGTGAGAATACAGAGGGAGAAACCAGGACCTTCCAGACAGAGCCAGTTCTGGTTCCTGGAGACAGGGTCTAGTCAGTCAAAATATCTTCATAATGTCTTCCGGCATGAAGGTAACTTCAGTTTTCATATCCTCCCCCCATTTTTTAGTGAAACAGCAGTCAAATCAGAAGAAGTTGATAAAGATGGAGAACCCCTGCTGCTTCTCTCTGTGCCTCAAATTAAAGTCAGGAGCTTTGGGCAGCTGTCACAGTTGTTATCAATTGCCAAAGACAATAAGCTGCAGGAGACACAAGCCTGCATTGAAGGTAAAATGCACTCTCCATTTGCCATTTGAACTTTCAGACACAACCTTGGGGAAGGGGGTACTTTATTATATTCACTTGAAAAAATCTACCATGTAAAAGATTTAAAAGTCACATGTAGCACTTCATGAGAATTGACATTCATTTTTCTCAGTTAAGTTGTTAATACCCACATCCAGTTTCTGCTTTAAATGGAAAGTCTGATGTGTCTAGTAGAGTTCTAGGTTTCTCATTTTAGCATGTGGTTTCTGGATGGCCCAGTGCCCTGTGGCCTGTAAGGTCATGTTAGAAGACAGGTTACAGGGGCCAGCATGAGTCTACCTCCCTTTGGCATACATTGATGTGCATGGCAGCCTGTTTCCTCCAAGAGGGATTTGAACTCTTTCTTTGGAGGAGACAGTCCTTCTTATGTTTCTTTCTCATTCCCTGACTTGCTCCATTTGTGAAATCACAGCCTCCTGTGAATAACTATGAATAATTATGGGCATTCAGCTCCATGGGAAAGTTTCTCTTTCACTGAAGAGATACACTAACCTCATTATCATTCATTTGTAAGTGCCTAATGTGAAAAATGCTGTGACTGGTTGCCTCTTACACTTGTTTACACACATTTCCCATCAGGAGAAACAGTCACTCATAGGTAATGATGTATCCTGTGTCTTTTGTGGGCTTAGAATAGGTGACCAGTGGATTCCAGGAATATGGTTAACTAAATTCTGCCCACTTCTATGTGAGGTGCGAGAATGTTCCTTAAAAAATAAAGATGTTGGGACTGGAGAGATAGTTCAGTGGGTAAACACACTTGTGCAAGCATTGGGCCTTGAGTTCAAATTCCAAAACTGACATAAAAAGTTGGGCATAGTTGTGTGTTACTGTAACCCCAGAACTGTGGGGGAGGAGACAGGCAGAGGGTCTCTGGAGCTGACTGCCAGCCTAGACCCAGGTTCTGTACAGATCCAGTATTCAAAGAGCAATGAATGATAGAACAGGGTTCTGTCAGCCTTCACTTACCTAACAAGCATGACTGTGTGCAAGCAGCTTCATTTTATCTTATCCCAACTACTCACTATGTAGCCATCCATACAACAAAGCCACTTCTTTGAATAGGGATGAAATCTCAAGTGCAGAGTCAGATTCAAGACAGGAGTTACAGGAGTTAGTGGAGGGGACACAACCCAGGGTTCACCATATAGTTGCTTTAGCTAAATGACTATCATTCTTTAATGGATTTTGTCCTTCCTGTAAGGTCTTCCTTAAGCCTGAATTTCATGGCACATGGCCATTTGGAAGTCAGGTCCTCCCTTGCAGTTCAGGTTTTATGTCTTTTTAAAAATCTTCATTAGACAACGGCCACAAGGTTGGTAAGCTGAAGTGCTTGATACGTAGCCTGTTCCTTTGCCCTATTTCTTGTCTCACGTCAAACCATTCGAGGTAGTCTTCTGTGGCATAGCTCACTTCCTGTTCGACAGCTAATGTTGTCATTTCATCCAAATCAGACTTTAAGAATTCATCTCATGGACATTGTTTCTCCACATCCCAATAAATTCAGAGTTTCATTTTTCTAGAATGTTCTCTTCTAAACAAATATTTTTCCCATTTCCTTTACTGTATTGTTTTTGACATTTACAAACTATTTTCTGCATCTCCGGGATCCAGTTCTGTTTCCGTATCATCTTGGCCATGCATTTTTACTTGTCCTTCACAGACTTGGAACACATGCAAATGCTGGTTACATTGATTTTTCCAACTCTTAGCATCAAGAGGTCAGGCTATGTGCACCAAAAGGTACTGAGAAGTTAGGTACTTCAGGCATGTGGAAAAACTATAGCAGGCATGTGGAGAGGAGGAAGCCTGTTTGGGAAGGAAAGGGCTTAGGAATTGGGACAGTGGCAGGCACAGACATAGATGCAGACAGCCTGAGTGGCTGTTCTTGTAGGCAAAAACATCTCTCTTCAAACCAACTCTGAGCACGTTAGTTGAATTTATCTATTATAACACAGCATCCTATAGTCAATTAACGAAGGGAGGTAGTCTTGATTTTGGTCTTACAGTTGACATAACACAAGGAGGAACATATGAAGAGGTTTAAGACAGATCCTAATACAACAGACACTCAGAAGGAGGGAAGAACCTAACAGGCTCAGCTAGAGGAAGCTGAATGCAAGGAGCCAATTAAGGAGAATTTGGTGGGATTTCTTAGTCTTTGCATTTGGATAATCGTTATTATTTATGGTTTTTTTGTCAGCTAACAGAGACCCTATAGTGAAAATCTTGGGCTCAGATTATGTTGAATTGAAAGAAGATTCCACTACTGTAACTATTCTTGATAATATCACCAAAGACAATGAACTGCATATCAAAAGGAAAATCGCCATCTTGCTGAAGCAGCTGGACCTGCACCTGCTCAACCATTCCCTAAAGCATATCTCACTGTGAGTGCGAAGAGAAATAGCTCAAGATCAGTTATGAAACTGCTCTTAGCATTTTAGAAAGTGATACAGAAAAAGTGTAGAAGCTACTGCTATTGGGTTAACATTTCAGTTTGCATTAACGAAATGTCCATTCTACTGGGTTTATGTATACAAAATCTAATGACAATTTTACTATTGCTAGGACAGTCTAGCGTGGTTTTCTCCAGGTCAGAAGGCATTAAACACCTGGCTATTTTCAAAGACTCTTCAGATAATTTCACATATCATTAAGTGATAACACAATTAGCATCCAGAGTTTGTGTGGTATACATTGTGCTCATATTTCTAGTATCTACTACGAGTGTGTTTCTATTATTATGAAATGAACACTTGAGGGAAGGCAAGATGGCTCAGCAGGTAAAGATGGCTGCCATCAGGCTGCCAAGCCAGATGACCTATGTGCCATCCCATGGTGGAAGAATAAAATTAACTCACACAACTTGTCCTATGACCTTAACACATGAACGATTGCATGAACATGTGCCCACATACAGATACATGCAAATAATAAGAAGTAATTTTAAAAAGAAATTAACATTTGTGTATATTTAGTGTTATCGTAGATGTGATTTCTTTTCCATTTACTTTTTAATTTTATTTTTAAGCTTTTAGATAGGTACTTATTGTATGTTTAGGATGTCCACTCTCATAGCTCCAGTTTTTGAGAAACTCCTCTCCTTCCCACTGGTTTACTGGTCCCCTTTGTCACTTGAGACATTTTGCCTTCTACTTTCATGTCATATGTGTATGTATAATATATACACATGATTTTCCTCATCTACAGAAAACCTAGGTCAATGTGAACTTCTTGAGGCTTTTACTGGTGATGATGCATGATCCGAATATGGTTGAAATGAACTTCCAGCATTAATTGCAAATAGGCAGCCCCCCCATTTTGGAACGTATCCATGCATTTCCTTTAGATTCTGTTTCAAACACTTGATTTTCTAATGTTTGTTTCAGAGAGATCCATTTGAATCCAGCAAGGTTCAAGAAAGATATTGAGCTGCTCAAACGTTACTCTGGAAAAGGGGAGCAGACGGTGCTGGAGTCAATTGAATACACTTCAGGTTTGTGTCTTCTCAGGTTCCTTTGATATCAGTTATGTCTTCATGACTGCATTTGAAACACTGTCCCATAGTTGTATTCTAGTTGGATATTCAAGATAATGAACTCTTTCATGTTCCACAATACCTATTTTGCTAAAGTGGATATGCTTTCAACTCACCTAACTGAACTCCTCCTGCTCATGGTCTCTCCACTGGTTTTAGAGTATGAATTTTCAAATGGGTGTCGCGCCCCACCATGGCGACAGATTCAAGGGGAAGTCTGTTACGTGCTGGTGAAGCCACATGATGTGGAGACTCTGTGCATCACCTGCAGTGCAGAAGGAGTGTTTTTAAATGGTGTAAGTACCTTTTAAAGCTTCTGTGCTAAGTGTGAGGCACGGCTTGCATGGTGGGCTGAGTCCTGATAACCGTAGACAAAGGAGACAGAAACCCTATCCTTTTCCAATGCACCTCCTGGGCAAATCCCAAACTATCTTAAAATCAGCTTTGGTGGCTGTCACTACAGGGCATGGAGCCAGTTTTTGAAGAAATGGGCTTAGAAATGCCCCTTTCCACAACTCCAAACTAAAATCCCTTTAATAAAATTGGTTCCCATATTAAAGATAGAAAAGAGCAAGAGGAAAACACAGGCAATTTTGGAAATAACTGTAGCTTCCATCCCAAGAGTTCAAGGGCAGGGGAGCAGAGGAGGCTCTTCAGTGTGGAAGCTAAGACTAAGAGCTCCAGCAAACTGGGATCCAGGTAGCAGGAGTGGGGCCCCTTCTAGGCTGCACTGCTTCCTGCTTGACAATGCAGGCCTCAGTTTGAGGGAGTGGGTACTTCCCAGTTTGTGCTGGTACCTCAGGAGCTGGCAGACTTGGCATCTAGGTCTGTGAATTGGGGTCACCAATCATCCACTAGTGACATCTCTTGAGAGCCTGTGGGAAAAGGAGAGACTGGACATTGGAATCAACCATTCACATGGGAAACATGGAAGTGAAAACCTATTACTGGGGACCCACTGGGACAGTGGCCCTATGAAAAGAGGGACATTCTTCCTTTGATCCTCGTCTGAATCTAACCCAACCTACAAAAATTGAAAGTGGATTTAGATTCCAAGACCAAGGATGCCAAAGGAAGTTTGAGCAGGTGACTCAGAGCTAAGCAATAGCAGTACACAGCCTCTGAAAGCCCCAGGTTAGGACATGTGAATCCTGGTCACTATTTTGAGTCAGTGAACAAGCCAGGAGGATCTCAGCTGCCTCATCAATAACATCTCATCTTCAGAACCTTCTGTGTGAACTTGGGATTCACAAGGAGGCTCCAAGTCCTGACTGAGAACCCTACTGTCACAGTAGTGGCTTCACAAGATCCTACACCTTGCCTGTGTTGGTTTGAGGATCCTGATGCCACCTCTAGGAGGGCCTTCTGGAATCTTCTGGAACCTTTGAGTGCTTTTTCCTCATTAACAGTTAACTTAACTTGACTTATTTCTGCATGGAGAAAATAGGTCATAATTAATTCTAGTTATTAATTTGTTTGATATTTTAGTAAAGTAAAACTTCTATTTAGAATAAGATAAATGAAGGAATGATTTCTTTGACCTTATAGAGAAGGTCAAGCAACTTTTGTTTCCATCAAAGTTTATATTGGGAAACAGTAAATATTTCTCTTGGATTTAAAAGAAAAATTCAGACACTGAGAACCAGAAAAGAATTTTAATTCCCAAATATTAAAACAGTATAGTTGTGTGTTATGTAAGTTCTTATGATAGAATAATACAATAAGAAAGAAAAGGAAATGAACAAAAGGCAGAGGCAGGTAGAAGAGAGGACAAGAACAGAGGGAAGAAAAGACAAGGAGTTCTACAGAGTTGTTAGCCCTAGAAGATGAACTTGTAGCAATTTGATACACACAGAAAAGAGTCTGACCGACCCAGGCTTTCTCTGGTGGGATTCTAAGCCTCAGGTCTTTTGTGACTTCATCACTTAAGGTTCTTGAAGTCACAATGTATTTTCACAGTGGAGGAGAGCAGTGGAAGGGACATCACTGGCTGGAGGGCAGAGCTCTACCTGCATAGAAGAGGTACTCAAACATGGTGATTGAGTGGATGGATAAAAGAGTGATGAAATTAACTCAAGGGAAAGGATGTTGCCTACACACACCATACACAAAGTTTTCCACATGCACCTCTTAGCAAAATAATCATTAACATGAGATGGAGATTTGTAGGGGATAGTGGGGATTGATAGGGATGGAAATGAGATAATAAAGGATGGAAGTCCGAGTAATTAAAGTATATCTATGTATGTATGAGATTGTCAAAACAAATTTAATAAATAAAAACACCAACATTTATGTATAGACTGTGGCATTCTGATCTGGTTCCTCGTCTGACTCTTCCATTAATCATTCCATCAAATGTTTCCTCCCAAAGGGCAAAACAGAAGAGGAGGGGGAAATTAACTATGAGAGACAAGGTGAAATTTACAAAGACCTTGTTACATGTTTAAAGGACAAATCACCAGTATTTTCAGAGAATATGTCTAAGCACGTAAGTTCTGATCATCCTTTTATGTTACTTGACTACAGCTTTTCATACCATTTTCCATATATTCAATACTCTAAGATCTAAATAGGTACCTGTTAAGTAATAATATCATATTCTTACTTTTTAATTCTACCTCTGGTGAACTCTAATATATTGTATTCTGCTAATTTACCTATTCTAGATGTTTCATATCAGTGGGATCACAGGATCCACTTAATATCCGTGTCTTTGTGAGAGAAATCGTATCAAGTACCAAAGGCTATTTAACCCTTTATTTTGTTTATTTCACTTAGCATGTTGTCTCAAGGTTTATCATGTTTAGATTTCCATTCCTCTTTATGGTTTCGTCTGATTTCATTTATATGTATGCTATACTGTCCTTGCTTCATTTCCCATTGCTGTGAGAAAATACCACCACCAAAAGCAACTAAAGGGAGAATTGGTTTATTTTCGCTCACAGTCCCATGTTACAGTCCATCATTGCAAGGAAGACAGTAGATACTGGAGAAAGTTGGTCCCATCCACAGTCAAGAGCAGAGAGAGAACAAATTAATGCAGACATGCTTTTGGTGCTTTTGGCTTTCTCCCCTGTCACACAGTTCAGGGTCTCCTGCTTAGTGAATGATGCCACTCACACTGCATGTCTCCCCACCTGGGAGCTTTCAGAGGCTGTATACTGCTATTGCTTAGCTCTGAGCCACCTGCTCAAACTTCATACATGTATATAGAGCATCCCCTTACTCCCTTTTGTCTCCCTTCCCACCTTTGACACCCCTCAACACCCTTCACCACACAGGTCCCTCTCCCATCTTCATGGGTTTCTGATTTGTCTTGTAACCTATTAATTTTAACTCTCCAAGTAGCCACAGCTTGGAACTATCCACTAGATCCTGAAGACGACGACTGTCCCTCCCTCAGAATCCATCAGTTGCCAGTAGTTCAGTAGGGAGGGTCAGGACCCCATGAGCGCCTCCTGGTCTATGACTGCCTTGTGTAGGTCCAGGAGTAGGTAATCACTCCTGCTGTATGATCAGGTTTACAGTGGCTGTGCTGTGCTCCAAAGAGCATTTGCCCTCCTGATCTCCTTGGCTCTCACATTCTTTTCACTTTCTCTTCTGAAAGTTCCCTGAGCCCAAATGTTTTGGAATACTGCTCTGTTCTCATTATTTTTATAAAATTTGTCAACTGTTCCTTGAATTGTTGTTAGTATACTAACTTCCCTCAGCCTATTGCAGATCATTGTTTTTTTTTTTTTTTGAAGATTTCTTTTTGTATTTCTCTGGTTTCCAGAGAGACAGACCAAGAGGGAGGGGAGAAAGAAAAGAAAGTGGAGAGAAGGAAAGAAGGGTGGGGAGAGGGAGAGATAGTTCCAGAAACTGGCTTATGCAGTTTTTGGAGACAAGCAGATCTGAAATTTGGAGGGAGATCAGTGTAGTAGGCTGGAGTACAGACAAGCACAGACTCATGTCTGGAGCCCTAATCCCATGAGCCAGTGAGTTGGAGACTTGGGCAAGGATTAATGTTTCCAGCTCAGGGAGAGTTTCCTTTTTGGTAAATCTTAGTCTTTCCTCTGTAGGCCTTCAACTTCCTGGGTGAGGTAGATTCACATCACAGAGGGCAATCAACTTAGAGTCTACTGATTCAAATGGCAATCCCTGCAAAAATTATTAACACAGCAATATTTAAGCTGGCACATAACAAAAGCAATAGGCACCTTGGTCCAACCAGGCAGACACAAACAGAACAATCAAATCTACTTATGCTATTTTTCTTTGCCCCCTTGCACGCTTTTAGCAGTGTGAAAATGTCACTACCCAAAGCCAACACTGCCATCCCTTGCTTGCACTGACATCCTCTCAGCTGCCCATTGTCACCAGAGATCTCTGTTTGATTTGTTTCATGAGACAACATCTTACTGGGCAGGGCCAGAGTTGAACTCAATTCCCGTCTGCATCTGTAATCGGAGTCTTCCTAGGTTCAAGGCATCTCTTAGGTTTGCGTTTTGTACTGAAATCTTTTCTTTAGAGAGCCATTTACCACATGCTGTTGAAGTTATTTTGATATGTTTCATCTGTCTTTGTTAAAAATGGAGTGGGCAGCATCAGGTAAATAGGCCGGCTTCCCGGCCTGTGTTCCAGTGCCTGCAGATCGCCTGGGAACTGCACAGAGCTCCCAATCCCGGCGGGAGCCAAGCACCCCAGACTCCAGATCATCTCTCCCACCAACGAGACCAGGAAACAAGAGGAGGCTGGGAGTCCAGGGAAGCAGCTGTTCCTCAGGCAGCATCAGGTAAACAGGCAGGCTTCCAGGCCTGTGTTCCAGTGTCTGCAGATCGCCTGGGAACTGCACAGAGCTCCCAATCCTGGCAGGAGCCAAGCACCCCAGACTCCAGATCTTCTCTCCCACCAACGAGACCAGGAAACTAGAGGAGCCAGGGAGACCAGGGGAGTAGCTATTCCGGATCATGTACAACAGGACCCAGCATAGGGTCCAGGGGACCAGGTAGGAGGCTAAGCGCCCCAGATTCCTGTTGTTCTTCTCCACCCACGGACCACCATTTGGACAAGGTATAGAAGAACCAACAGATTATTGGACTTGCTAGCACCCACCAAAAGGGAACTCTGGTCCCCAGACCAGTAAGGGGCTCTTTCTGCACCCACTAGAAGAAGAGATGGGAAAGAGACAATACAAAAACACAGTCAGCAACAGAAAAACAAATATGACACCGCCAGATTCTAGAGACTCCACACCAGCAAGACCCCAACATTCCAATGCGAACGAAGCAGAAGAGAACGACCTTAAAAGCACTTTCATGAAAATGATAGAGGCCCTAAAAGAGGATATAGGAAAATCCCTCAAAGAAATGGAAGAAAAAACAAACCAAAAAATGCAAGAATTGGAAGAAAAAACAAACCAAAAAAGGCAGGAAATGGAAGAAGAAATGAAGCAAAAAATGCAAGAAATGGAAGAAAAACAAAGCAAAAAATGCCAGAATTGGAAGAAGAAACATACCAAAAAAGGCAGGAAATGGAAGAAGAAACAAAGCAAAAAATGCAAGAAATGGTAGAAAAACAAAGCAAAAAATGAAAAAAATGGAAGAAGAAACAAACCAAAAAAGGCAGGAAATGGAAGAAGAAACAAAGCACAAAATGCGAGAAATGGAACAAAAAGCAAACCAAAAAATGCAAGAAATGGAAGAAAGAACAAACCAAAAAATTCATAAAAGGCAACAAACGGACGAAAAGATAAACAGAAAATTGCAAGAAGCAATGCAAACACTGCAAGGGTTGAAAACTGAAATAGAGACATTAAAAAAACACAATCTGAAGAAAGGCAGAAAATAGAAAAGCTGGACAAACAGTCAGGCACTACCAATACAAGCATTACCAACAGAATAGAAGAGATGGAAGAGAGAATCTCAAGTGTTGAAGATACACTAGGAGAAATGGATTTATCAACCAAAGAAAACCTTAAATCCAACAAATCCTTAACACAAAACATCCAGGAAATATGGGACACCATGAAAAGACCAAACCTAAGAATAATAGGTATAGAAGAAGGAGAAGAAATCCACCTCAAAGGGGCAGAAGGCATATTCAACAAAATCATAGAAGAAAACTTTCCCAACCTTAAGAAAGACATGCCAATGAAGGTACAAGAAGCCTACAGAACACCAAATAGAGTGGACCACAAAAAAATATCCCCTTGCCACATAATAATCAAGACCCCAAACATACAGAATAAAGAAAGAATATTAAGAGCAGCTAAGGAGAAAGGTCAAGTAACATATAAAGGCAGACCTATCAGAATTACACCTGATTTCTCCATGGAAACTCTGAAAGCCAGAAGGTCCTGGATAGATATTCTACCTACACTAAGAGTCCATGGATGCCAGCCCAGACTACTATACCCGGCAAAGCTCTCAATAACTCTAGATGGAGAAAACAAGATATTCCATGACAAAACTAGATTCAAGCAATATGTGTCCACTAACCCAGCCCTACAGAAAATTTTGGAAGGAAAACTCCAACCCAAGGAAGCTAACTACAACCAGAAAAACATAAGCATTAGAGAATCCCTCTCTACCAACAGCCAAAAGAACAAAGGGGTGAAATTCCACACATAATTCCACCAACAACAACTATCACAAGTCGAAGAAGGATGAGCAATCAATGGTCATTAGTATCCCTCAATATTAATGGCCTTAACTCACCCATAAAAAGACACAGACTAGCAGAATGGATTCGAAGACAGAACCCTTCCTTCTGCTGCATACAAGAAACACACCTCACCTTCAAAGACAGACATTACCTGAGAGTTAAAGGTTGGGAAAAAATTTTCAATCAAATGGACCCAAGAAACAAGCAGGGGTAGCAATCCTAATATCTAACAAACTAGACTTTAAAATAAAATCAATCAAAAGAGATGAAGGAGGTCATTACATACTCATCACAGGTGAAACCCACCAAGATGAAGTGTCTATCCTGAACATCTATACCCCAAATACAAAGGCATCCACATTCGTTAAAGAAACATTATTAGAACTTAAATCTCATCTAAAGCCCCACACAGTTATAGTGGGAGATTTCAACACACCACTCTCACCACTAGACAGGAATACCAGACAGAAACTCAACAAAGAAGCAAAGGGTCTAATAGAAGTAATGACCCAACTGGGATTAACAGATATCTATAGAACATTTCATCCACATAAAAAAGAATATACCTTCTTCTCACCACCACATGGAACCTTCTCAAAAATCGACCACATACTTGGCAACATATCAAACCTCAGCAGCTACAAAAAATTGGAATAACTCCATGCATCTTATCAGACCACCATGCTTTAAAATTAGAATTCAACAACAACACAAATTGCAGAAAACCTACAAACTCATGGAAATTGAATAATGCTCAACTGCACCATCCCTGGGTCAAAGAGGAAATAAAAAAAGAAATTAAAGACTTCCTCGAATTCAATGAGAATGAAGACACAACATACC